GAAGATCCTCATTCAAGTCTCACAGCAGTGCTCTCAAATGTAGTAGTATTGTCCCCACTGTATACATATGCTAACTGAGACATGTGGCAACGAGCTTGCCCAGTGTCACACGGCTAGTAAAGGCCTGAGCCACGATTCAGCTTCACTGGGCTCTAGAACTAACTCTTCTCTGACTATGCTGCCTGGGACTGGTAATTGATATCTTATGCCTGGATATTGGGCCTTGCCTGTTCCCTGTAAAATGATTGGCCATTTATAGGAAATAATTTTCTATAACCCAGTAAGTGAAAAAAACTCTTTTTGCTACTTTGGTGAAGGCATTTTTTGTATATGTGTTTCTTTTGGTGAAGTGTTTTTGTTTTGTTTTTTCCCTCTCCAGACTTTTCTCTCTTTTGTGTGTTTATGATATTTATTCATCCATTCTTCAATTACAGTTGACATTCAGTATTATTTTGTATGAGTTTCAGGTGTAGAGAATAGTGGCAAGGAATATACTTTATAAAACAATACACCCAATATTTCAAGTACCCACCTGGCACCGTAGATATTATTACAATATTGTTGACTGTAGTCCCTGTGCTATAATTTACATTACCATGACTGCTTTGTGACTAATTAGTACTTCTGAATCCCTTTATCGTTTTTATCCAGCCCCCTAACTGCCAACCGCCATCTTCTTTGACAACCATCAGTCTGATCTCTCTCTGAGTCTGTTTCTCTTTTGTTTGTTTATTTTATTCTTTAGATTCCACATAAGAGTGAAATCATGTGGTATTTGTCTTTCTTTCTCTGACTTATTTTACTTAACATCATACCCTCTAGTTCAGCCGTGGGCAAACTACGGCCCGCAGGCCGGATCCGGCCCGTTTGAAATGAATAAAACTATTGAAAAAAAAAGACTGTACACTTTTATGTAATGATGTTTACTTTGAATTTATATTAGTTCACACAAACACTCCATCCATGCTTTTGTTCCGGCCCTCCGGTCCAGTTTAAGAACCCATTATGGCCCTCGAGTCAAAAAGTTTGCCCACCCCTGCTCTAGTTCCATCCATGCTGTCTCCAATGGTAAAATTCCATTGTTTTTTATGGCTGTATAGTATTCCATTGTAGATACAGGAGTGGGCAAAGGTAGATTTGCATTTATTCGTATGGAAAAAATGCAAATTAATAAGTAATAATAGAAGGATAAACTCTGTGTTTTGCATACTCACAATAAACCTACGTTTGCCCACCCCCGTGTGTACCACAGCTTTTTCATCCAGTCATCTACTGATGGGCACTAGGGTTGCTTCCATATCTTGGCTATTATAAACAGTGCTGCAATGAACAGGGGGCTCATTCGTGTTTTGGGTTTTGGCGGGATATATACCAGAAGTGGAATCACTAGGTCAGGGCTGGGCAACCCCTGGCACGTGTGCCAAACATGGTACGCCAGTAACTTTTGCTGGCACGCGAAACTCTCTCTTATAATCTTCCATTTACAATTTTTTTCTTAATATCGACTTTTTTATTTTTCAGATAAATTCAGTGTAGGTGCATCTTAGGTAGATAAATAATTTTACATAACATGTATTCATTAAAAAATAAATGTATTTTTCATCATCATATACTGTGTTTTTGTCGCTCGAATGAATTTTATTATTTCTTCAAGGTTCTTCACATACGTATACCTTAAGAGATATCAAGTAGGCGTAACATGTTCTCAAAAAATTAGGGTTGGCACGCAGAAGAATTTTGAGTCAGAGATTTTGCTGGTTTTGGCACACACTCACAAAAAGGTTGCCCAGCCCTGCACTAGGTCATAAGACAGTTCCATTTTTAATTTTTTGAGGAAATTCCACTGTTTTCCACTGTGGCTGTACCAATACGCTTTCCCACCAACAGTTGCACAAGGGTTCCCTTTCTCCATATCCGCACCAACACTTGCTGTTTGTTGATTTATTGATGATAACCATTCTGACAAGTTTGAGGGGATCTATCATTGTAGTTTCAATTTGCATTTCTCTGATGGTTAGTGACATTGAGTATCTTTTCATATGTCTTTAGGCCATCTGTATGTCCTCTTTTGAAAAGTGTTTATTTAGGTCCCCGGCCCATTTTTTAGTTGGATTATTGGTTTTGAGTTATATGACTTCTTTATAAATTTTGGATATTAATGCCTTATCAGTTGTATCAATGGTGAATATCTTCTTCCATTCTGTAGGCCTTTTTCATTTTGTTGATGGTTTCTTTTGCTGTACAAAAACTTTTTAATTTGATGGGACCCCCCTTTTTTATTGTTTGTTTTTCTTACCTAAGGATATATATCAGAAAAAAAATATTGCTAAGAGAAATGTCAGAAATTTTATTGCCTGTGCTTTCTTCTCGCAGTTTCATGGTTTTGAGTCTTAATTTAATTCTTTAACCCATTTTGAGTTTATTCTTGTATATGGTGTAAGAAAGTGGTCTAGTTTCATTTTTCTTGCATCTATCTGTCCAATTATTGAATAGTCTTTACCCTATTGTGTGTTCTTGCCTCCTCTCAGAATAAACTATTCTTAAGTCAAAGGGTTTCCATACAATTGCCTTTAAAAGTTGTCATAAGTAAATCTCTCTGTTTCATTGTGTCATGTGGTTGAATGTGAACTTGATTGACTTCATTTATTCTAGATACTCTTATAAGTGATGTAGAAAGTAATTTCAACAAATCTAATTAGCTAGATCACATTTCCTTGAAGTTATATATGCACCAAACTATTTTATCTAGGATGTTTGTTTTATGAATGAAAATTACTTAAAGACATTTTGGATTTTGTCATTTATTTTATAGAAATGAATGTGCACATAAGTATGCATATGCCTAGTTTCTCTGATTATCAAGTCATAAAATTATGTAAACTTTTAAAAATAAAACTTTCTATATTTTTAATAATTTTAGTTTTAAAGAAACATTGCAAAGATAGTGCAGAGGCTTTATATACCCTTCACCAAACCATAGTAAGCCTTTCCTAATTCAAAAGAGTTGGGGATATCTTGTTTGCTGGTCAGGCGATAATCTATACCCTACAGGATTCAAAACATTGATATTTATTTGAGGCATTTAAGTATAAAATGACATATACTTAGCTAAAATGATTGGGTTTTTTTCCATTTTCAATATTCTGTAGCTTCCCAAAATATAAATATAAAAAACTGGATTGAATTTCTTTTGACCTTCAACATACCATTAGTTGAAATATTGTTTAAAAAATCAGTCTGCTACTTGCTATATACAGCTAGAGAAAATTTTAGTTACTTGAAATTTATCAAGAATTGAATGATTATTATATCATCTAAAGTTAAAATGATTTTCTTCTTCAAAATTTCTAATTACATATGCTTTTATTGAAAATCCAATATGGAAGACATGTAGTGAATATTTTAGCTATAGATGATTGTATACACTTGAAGTTCATATATATATATATATATATATATATATATATAGTTCCATGGCATTTCCATGAACATGTTATTTGGAAATTAGCATTCCTACATCAGTTTTATTATTATACTAGAGACCCAGCGCACAAAAATTTGTGCACTCGGGGGAGGGGGGTCCCTCAGCCCGGCCTGTGCCCTCTCGCAGTCTGGGACCCCTCAGAGGATGTCCACCTGCTGGCTTAGTCCCGCTTCCGGGGGGGGGGGGGAGGTGCAGGCCTAAGCTGGCAGTCAGACATCCCTCTGGCAGCCCGGGAGCCCTTGGGGGATGTCCACTTGCCAGCAGGGAGCAGGCCTAAGCTGCAGTCAGACATCCTTAGCGCTGCTGAGGAGGCGGGAGAGGCTCCCGCCACCACTGCTGTGCTGGCAGCCATCAGCCTGGCTTGTGGCTGAGCAGTGCTCCCCCTGTGGGAGCGCACTGACCACCAGGGGGCAGCTCCTGCATTGAGCGTCTGCCCCCTGGTGGTCAGTGTGTGTCATAGTGACAAGTCATTCCCAGTTGTTCTGCTGTTAGGGTCAATTTGCATATTACCCTTTTATTATATAGGATTATCTGTTTTCTCAAAGTTGAATTTTGACAAGCATAATAAGGACAGCATTTCATTTAAAGTGGAACTTCATTTTCTTTTTTGTAAAGCATGTTTGGTCCACTGAATGTTTGAATCCATTCTAATGATTCTCTCTTGCTTTCACCCATGTCAAATCCATGTGATCTAATTTGTGTGAAAAATTTAAAATATTTATTGCCATTTTATTCATATTTATTGCCATTTTATTCATATATTCTTTTTTGCCATTTTATTTATTGCCATTTTATTCATATATTCTTTTTTTCTTCTTAAAGAAGATGCTTTAATATTTTAATATTAAATATATGGTTTGGTGGTGATGAACTCCTTTAGCTTTTCTTGTCTGGGAAGCTCTTTATCTTAACTTCAATTCTAAGTGATAGCTCTGCTAGGTAGAGTAATTTTGGTTGTAGGTCCTTGCTTTTCATCACTTTGAATATTTCTTGCCACTTCCTTCTGGCTTGCAAAGTTTCTGTTGAGAAATCAGCTGACAAGAAGTAATTGAGTGTGAGAACTGGTTAGCCACACAGTAAGGCTCACTACTTATGGGAAGGTGGTAGAGTCAGAGCTGGGTGAAAATTTTATTATCCTAACATTTTATTTTTTTAATTCCCCATTTGACTCTTGAAAGAAAAACTACCAATGCAGTTTGTTTTCTGTAAATAAAATACACCCCTGGAAATTCCTGTAGTGATCCACACTGGGAGCAGTGTTTCCGAACACACTGTAGAATGAAGTCACTCAAATCGCCTCGGCTGTAAGCATACAAGGCATTCAGGCCAAGACCCAGCCCTGATGACCGGTCTTGCTATTTTTGTTTATTTTCTAGAAGTGAAATGCTTAGCCTTTTAAAGCTGTTTTTGTAAAGAAGCCAATAGGATGGGCATAGCTAACGTCTCCTCCTTGTAATGACATAATGGTGCTCATGCGCTTTCCTCTTCTCTCCACTGCTTTTTATCCTTTTTGTAGATGCACATCGGGAATTCCTTCACAGGCCTGCTTCTGGATATGTGCCAGAGGAGATCTGGAAGAAAGCTGGTAAGAATTGTTTAAAAACACGAGTCTAGTGTTCTGGCAGCTGTGTGCAGTTGTTAAGTGCGGCGATGTGAAGAATGACAAGAAAGGACTTTACTGCAAACAACCACCACCACCACAAAACCATGCAAAACACCCCCCAACAAAACAAAACGTAAAAACCCTGATTAATATTCTTAAACGAGGCCTGATGGGAGCCTGCGATAGTTTTGATTTTAGTAGCATGTGCTAGGGGCGCTGTAATTGAGAGGCTGGCCATATTTTCATTATAAACCCCTGTTTTTCAGGGACTAACATGGTTTCATTTCATGCAATGTTTTCTTCATGAAAAAAAAACACCCTGGTGTTTTATAATTTAAAGTGCCTACTTTTAGGCTTTTCCTGTGAATTTTTAAATTTTAATGAAGACCACATCAAGACTAACAGACTTGTGGGGACACGCAGAAATGTTACTTATAACCAATTTTTAAAGTTGATCTTCTGAGCTAATTAATAATATTCAGTAATCACAGCTAAATATTTTTTAAGTTAAATGACAAAGTTGCTAAACTCCTACAATTTTTCTTTTCCCTTTGATTTTCCTTAAGAGATATTGCCCTACACTTGGCATGAGATTTAAAGTTCCTACTGATTCATTAACGTATTGGGCTTAACGCAGCTCAGATCTGGCAGAATCTTGGTGGAACACCAACACTATAGAAGTTGAGCAAAAATCTTAGAGAGACCAACTCAGGAGATAAAGCATCAGCCTGTTTCAAGAGTTAAAGATGACATGACACATACATAGTGTGGCTTGGAGCTGCTATGACTCCAAATGTTAAAATAGCTTTTCTGAGCTGAGAAACTGAAAACTTATTTCTGCAAGTGGCCAGGTGAGTGTAGGGCTAGGAACCCTAACTAGGGAGGAGCAAGAGGCAAGGGAAAGGGTTTCCTGTTTCTTTTTTGTTTTGTTTTGTTTTTTATAAAAGTTTCCTCTTTCAGTTTTTATTTGACTCAGATGTGTGTGCAGCTCTGTACAACTTTCTGACTTTATTCCCTTGGCTCTTAGCCAAGTGCTTTTTATAGATTTTCTAAGAAATACCTGTTTTTTTTCAGAGCAATAAGGAGTTTAAAATCCGATAGTATTCTAGGCTTAGTAACTTAGATTGAGAACCAGAAAACTCTCTTGCATGTCCAATATGCAAACTAGACAGGCCCATCCAGCTTAAAATTAAGGTCAGCTATATATTCTGCTCAGCTGCCTCGTCTTCCCAGGTTTACAACATCACGTCTAAGATTTTCTGTGTAAGCAATAGTGATGGGATACTCTTAAGCTGTTAAAATGTGCTGGCTGCCACCTATCTGGAAAAAGAATTGCTACATCTTTCTTCTGGCCATTTTTCTTCCCCATTTTTAAGCTGTCAGTGCAACTGATTCCAATAAGAGGCACAAACAAGTCCTATTTTGTATGGCAGAGGATGACTTTTTACTTGAGGGAGAGAGTTTTTGCATCTGCCTTATTTAGATTAAACCCTCGATAGTTCATGAAGAAAAATTGACAGCAAAGTCTTGTGTAATCCGAATTCCTTCTGTGCCATTATGTGCTCACTTCTTTGTTTGACTGCTCTTAAGTGAGAGCAGATTTCTTCTTCTGACTATACCATCTTTGTAGGAAAGTCAACTTGAATAGCTATGCACAAAGGAAGGCCTACCATAAGTAGTAAGCAGTTGGAAGCAGATTCAGAATTGCATTATACATACTACTAAAAATTAATTGTAGTGATAGTAGCACAACTCTGAGTAGACTAAAAATATTGAATTATAAATTTTAAATGAGTAAATTTCATAATTTGTTAATTATATAACAACCAAGTGATTGTTTTAACAAAAAGACAATAACTGCACTATGTATTGTCCACTTAATCAGTTTTTTGGTAGACATGTTGTCATCTACTGAGTTCACTATTATGTATTGTCTGTTTTGTGGGTTTCTATAACCAATTCTGGGTATAATTTACGTTGTGAAGACTTCAAGTGTAGAGGAAGATGAACACCTGTGTCTATTGTGTCTGTGCCTGCTCTAAAAAAAGAAGAGTTAAACGTTATTAAGTAAATGTTTGGGGTACTTTTTAGATATGCCTATTATGTATATTCGGTCTTCAGTCTAATATGGTCTCTCTAATATGCATAGGAATCATTCACAAATATTTTCTATGGATTGATGCTAAATGTTAAGGAGTGTATTCAGTTCCGAAAGTATAGATGGCAGTTTCGTCTTGAAATCTCAAATAACTGCTTATAATCTTTATCTCCATAGGCGTCTTAAAAAGCGTGTCTAGTGTTAGCAGTGTCACGGCATCCCTCATAATGAAAACACAGAAGTGGCACCTGCACTCAGCTTGTCACAATTTGAAAGCTTTCTCCAGGATTCTGAAATTTGCTGTGGGCAAAATACTTTTTTTTTTTTTTTTTTAGAGAAAAACCTATAAAGTGTGTCTTTGCAATGAAAATAGTATACGTTACCTTTGTGACAGTTGATAAGAAATAAAATAAAGTTGAAAGCATTTGAAAAATATCCAGGATGGAGCTCTCAAAAGTCAATGTAGTATAACCACACTGTAATGTAACAAAAATAGTGGAAATATAACCACATCCACATATTCCCAAGTCCCTTTTCACAGGAAATTGTAATTGCAAAAAGCGTATCTTGTACTTAAAGGCACATCATGTAATAGCTTCCACCATTTTATTTTGAAACGATATCAAACGTGCAGAGAGTTCTAAGAATTATTAAAAAGTTCTCTTAAACCTTTCACCCGGTTTTCCCTATTTTACTGTATTTGCTTTAATATATTTTCTCTCTCTTTTCCTCTCTTCCCTCCCTTCCTTTTTCTGTTATGCATTCTATTATCCACCCCCCCCCCCCAAACATTTGAAAGTAACTTGCAGGTGTAATTTTCCCAATATGTTAATTTCCTAACAGGACAGTCTCTTATGTAACCACAATACGGTTACCAAACTGAGAACAGGCCATTGTTACATCACTATTATTTAATCAACAGACTTTATTCATGTTGCTCAATAATATTGTATAATATAACAGTATACATTTTAAAGTATTGGAATGTTAACAAATGCTGAAGGTCCCATCAATTTTCCCCTCAAGTAGTATTTTTAAAAGCAAAGGAAACAAAACATACTCTAAAATTACAAAAGGTCTTTAATAAAATTGGAACAAATCAACATAAAGATGGTTCTTACATTGCAACTGAATGTTTTCTTCAATATATATATATCTTTTCAACTGATCAGCGAATGTTTGCCCATTGGTAATAAATATTCAAGCACCTTGAAAACGTCCTACCAATTAATTCTCTTTGCTGATCTGTATATGCCTGTGGGATTAGAATAGGAATGCATAATTTAAATACAAATTGCCTGATTTGCATATACAATTAGTCAAGCTACAGCTTGGATGGTAAGCAAAAATTATTGTCCTGTATTACCACTTAGATAGAATTTTAATTCGCTCTGAATATTCAAGCTAAATTAGACCCTGGCTATATAGTTAGAAGGGCAGCACTTCCCTGGTGCCCCAAGGCATTTATGATCGTGTAATAAAGGCATTTTTTCTGTCTGTTCCTGAAGAAGGTGCTGCAAGCTCTGCCATACCGTTTCCATTCAGAGTTTAACTGCATATCTTAAAGCAACCAATAACAGCTTAAGGTATTTTACTTAATATGTACCGCCTGGCTCTTTTCCCTTATATTTTAGTTTATAAAAGCCATCAGACAGTAATGACAAATGAATGGACTTCAGGAATAATGCTGCTAGCGTGAGGAAGGCTGCAGAAGTCATGGCAGTTAATTACCAGTGGAGGGCTCTTGATGGTCCTCACGGCACGGACCGTAGATGTGTGAAATAAACCATAAACGTTTAAGGAACCGGAGGAGTATTTGCATCGCTTACATTTTTAATCTACAGTAAAACATTTTTATTAGGAATCTATGTTTTTAATTAAACAGAACATTTAATTAAGGTGCGTTTTAAGTGGGTGAAACAATTAAGTGCAAGCACTTGAAACATGTCATAATTAGTTTTAATAGAGTGTTAATTGGTACTAGGTTTGCCAAGTTAATAATTACTGCTTATTAAATTTTCAATTAATCATTGTCATTTTGCTTTGAATAAAGATGAAAATTAGATAAACTAATTCAGAGGGAGGATATTTTCCCTTGTTAATTAGAACAGTTAATTTTTTAAATGGAAATTACTTGTTTTAGTTGTCAATCTTATGTTGTGCATTAGCCAAATCTTTGCACACTTTCCACAGCTAAAATAAAAAAGCTAACTGGACACCTTGAGGTTTGTGGGCAGGCCTGATTGTTCCGGCCTGTGATATGATTCCGTTCTATTTGTCCAGAGCAACAGTTGGTTATGTGAAACTGTGCACTTATTGGATTAACTGGATAGACAACAGGCTAAAATTTGTAAATGAGAAAATGATTTTTGAAAATCTCTGTCATTTAGTCTATAAAGGTACATATCCCTATTACTCAGGAAATGATTTAAGAAAAAGAAAAGCTGAATCATCTGTCTGTTTTATCATCGATTTTCTTTAAAAGGTCTGCACTAACTTAATTGCTATACGAATTACCTTTTTACCATTGTACTTTATTTTTTTACCACTAAAACAGTTGTTTGCCCTTAAATATGTGTGTGTATAAAATGCATTTCCTTTCTTCTTTCTAAAAACTTTGCCCATGTACTTTTCTATGTCCGTAGTAACATATAGCAGTGATTTTCAACTTTTTTCACATCGTGGCACACGTAAACTAATGACTAAATTCTGGGGGAAAAAATAGGCATAATGTTGATTCATTCACACCCGTGACTACTGTGTTAGCTGTTGTCATTTTAAAAAGTTTTATTTGGCAATCTAACGGAAAAGAGGTCAGCGCCCCTGACTAAATAGGTATTGCATGTCTTAACAATCCTTAGGGCACACCGGTTGAAAATCGCCGGCCGATAGCGTGGTGGGAGGCCGCCTTTATGTTTGTGAATTATGTGGACAGGTTTCTCCTGGTGGTTTTGTCCTTTAAATGCTTCGCCTGGTCTCACAATCCTTTCTGGAGGTACCAGCGGTGCTAGGAAAGCTGTAGTAATGATAGAAGTAGTTTACAAAGTATTCCCAGCCCTAGCTGGTGTGGCTCAGTGGATAGAGCATCGCCCTGAGGACTCAAGCGTCCATGTCCAGGCTGCCCGCTCGATCCCCAGTAGGAAGCGTGCAGGAGGCAGCCAATCCATGATTCTCTCTCATCATTGAGGTTTCTCTCTCTCTCTCTCTCCCCCGCTCCCTTCCTCTCTGAAATCAATAAAAAGTATATTTAAAAATAAATATATTCCTAGAAATGCAAGCCCAAGTCCCACCCTTTGCTTTCCTAAGGAATTTCAGGCATCTGCTGTGTGGGTAGGTGGCCAGAAGCGCCGCCACCCCAGCCGTGGGGCGACAGTCCCGCGGGTCCTATAGAACCCCGTTTGACAGCGCCGGCACCCTGAGCCCCGAGCTAACGGAGGAATGTTCTCTTGTCCCATGTGGCCCGCGCGCGTGCAGAGGAGGCCGTCAACGAGGTGAAGCGCCAGGCCATGACCGAGCTGCAGAAGGCCGTGTCCGAGGCCGAGCGCAAAGCCCACGACATGATCACCACCGAGCGGGCCAAGATGGAGCGCACGGTGGCCGAGGCCAAGCGGCAGGCGGCGGAGGACGCGCTGGCCGTCATCAATCAGCAGGAGGACTCCAGCGAGGTGAGGGGCGGACAGGGTCTCCGGTTTTTATTTATTTAAATTCTTTATTGTTGAAAGTGTTACATATGTCTCCTTTTCCCCCCATTGACCTCTCCCCGCCCACTCCCGCCCCCCAGCCCATGCCCTGACCCCCGTGCTGTCTGTGTCCATTGGCTATGCTTATATGCACGGATTCAAGTCCTTTGGTTGATCTCTTACCCTCCACCCCCACCCCTCCCCTGCCTTCCCTGTGAAGTTTGACTGTCTGTTCGATACTTCTAGGTCTCTGGGTCTATTTTTGTTCATCAGTATATGTTGTTCGTTATATTCCACAAATGAGTGAGGTCATGTGATATTTATCTTTCTCCGACTGGCTTATTTTGCTCAGCATAAAGCTCTCCAGGTCCATCCATGCTGTTGCAAATGGTAAGACTTCTTTCTAGAGGGCTCAGTTGTGATCCAGGAGATCACAAATCAAAGCAGCTATTGGATTGAGACCAACACATCTTTGGGGTGAAAATTAGGATAATTTGGGAAGTTCTGGCACGTGTGGAATTGGTTGAACACTGATCAAGTTTTGTCTTTATTAGAGACCTAAAAGAACAACTCCGCCAAAGGAAATTTTTAATATATTTGCGAGGTAACAGATTGAAGTGAAATTCTTATAACTTCCTAGCACCATTTGGAGACTCAACACTCAGCTGTGTATGACAGCATATGCACGAGGCTTCTTTCTAAAGGCAGGGATTTAACAGTGATACCCTGTGTCAGCTGTTCTCCAAACACACATGACATGCCTGGGATCAAAGTCATTTCCTTAACTACTGGTCCTAAACCCAGTGCTAAAACCATGCTTGCAATAATTAAACATTTCTAAGAGATTTTCTGCACAGTCTGTTTTTTCCACATTATTTCTAATAACTATTATGAACATTTTATTAGGTGACACCACTGACGGGGGCAATGTTATTTTGTATTGTTCCAGGATATTAAAACACACACACACACACACACACATACACACAGCCTGAATGGCTCAAGGAGCTCTAACAGAATGCGTTCTAAAATGGTCTGTAAGTCAGAGCACGTGGTGCTATTCCGCATTGATACAGCACCACAATGGCCAACCCCATAGTAACTGTGCATAAAGGACAATTAACTGAACTCGCACAACCATGAGCTGATAAATCGATGGTCTACCAGAGTACATATCTATAATTTGGGGGGGAGAGTAAGAACTTGATTTGTACCAGGCCTCTCTGTAGATGAAAGACCCTGTGGGAATCGCTCGGTGCCCAGAATTTCTATTTAATGTGTAGCAGATGAATATTAAGAGGACAAAAGGAATTGATTTTCAACACTTGAAAGTTTCTTGGGAAAAGAGGGACAAAGGGAAGTTTATCTACACTTCCATTGCTGGCTTTTTCATTAGTAAGTTAACCGAGGCATAAATTCAGTTTTATTGGCATCTGTGGCTAAGATATTTAAGGACCTTGTTTTGTGCTTAAAAAAAAAAAAATCATTTGCATCTTTTGGAGAGACTTTGTCCCGCTCTGTTCAAGTCAGTAATGCTGTGAGGCACAGTTGTTGGCATTATTAAAACCTTGTCACTTTCATATGACTGTTTCAGGTCTGTTGTTTAGATTGAGTATTCTGTAGGTCACAAAATTCTAAAGAGAAAATGTGTTGGAAAGAAATTGAGAACTAAGTATTCATCCTATAACATGCTCTAATCCCTTCAATGTCTATAAGCTTTTTATCTTTATTCATAAAACCTGTATAGAAAATGTATGAAGTTGACCCTAGTATTCGGCATTATAAAATACTGGAGGCCCGGTGCACGAATTCGTGCACAGGTGGGGTTCCTCAGCTGGCTGGCGATCAGGGCCCATCCAGGCCATGTCGCCCAGTCCAGGGGGAGGAACCACAGAAGGTTGGCTGGCCGCGGGAGGTTGGCTGTGGGAGTGCACTGACCACCAGGGGGCAGCTCCTGCGTTGAGCGTCTGCCCCCTGGTGGTCATTGAGTCATCCTAGCAACCAGTCGACCAGTCATAATGTCACTTAGGTTTTTATATATACAGGTGGTGTATCAAACAGTAGCAATGGTAATAGTAGATAGCATGAAAAAACCTAGGTATGAGTGATTTTCTACAGTTACTGTTTTTTCTTTTGGGATCTCTTGGGAAACTGATCTTTAATATGGCACTACCCTTATCTTCAGTGACACTTTCTCAAGGAATTTAAAGCACAGTGTGCTGGGAGGAAGGGTGTGGAATTTAGAGGGCCATATTTAATTCCTGGTTCCGCCTCCCACAATTCTGTAGCTTTGAGAAAGCCACAAAGGCTCTATAAGCTTTGGTCTTTCACGTGATGTGAAGAGGCGTGCAACTGTCTTCTACAGTGGCTATAACTTTGAGACATGACAATTTTAGCCATGAGGGAATTCACCTGGCTAGTCACACAGCTAGGAGATGGCAAAATCTACACTGGAACTCGGAGTGTGCTGTCAGCCTATACCTGTTCCACAGCAACGGAAGGAGGGTCATTTCATGAAGATCACGGCAGTAATTTGGGGGTGCAGGTACAGAAATGCAGCGCAGGTCCTGTCCCCTACTTTCCTTCTCTCTAAACTGCAAGGCCACTTTTCAAGACGTGAGCAGGATGGATCAATCTCTCCAATGAATAAGCCTCTTTTCTGCAGAAGTAATGTAGACATTTTCCTGAGAGAGGAGAGAAAGATACGGAAGAAATATTTCATTTGAAGGTAGCTGGGTCTCTTCCAGACTTGCACACCAGTCTACACACACACTCACACACACACACACACACACACACACACACTATAAAAGTGCTTTGACCAAGGACTTGACAAGTAAAGGGTTAATCTATTAGCCCTAAATTAATGTCTCTAATTCTCCTAAGGAAAGACTGTCCTGGAGCAATCTACATGGTTAGTGGTAGATTTAGTTCAGTTGTATCTTTTGCCCAATGGTTAAGTGGAATTTTGTAGGTAAATCCTTCCCCCCACCCCCCTCTTCGGAATTTTCCTTTTCATTTAAGATTGAGGACACAACTTTGAATCCAACATATTTTTCTGTACCCTGTTTTGCCCTTGTACTCAGGAATGTACGCCTAGTCATAGGAACAGTGTGATAAAAGCCACCCCAGCAATGATGCTTACAAGTCACCTCAAGTCTAGAAAGCTCCCTGGGGCCCTCCTAGACAGAGCCAGGACAGCTCTGGCTTCCCTGGGCTAGGACAGAGCTCCCCTTCCAGCCTCACCGTGGCTGGCCCAGGATGGGGAATCCGTTAGGTCAGGACTGCATGGCCCGCCTGAGCTACAGAGAAGACAGTGTAGGTACTTCTCAGAATTTTCTTCTATATTTTTATATTCAGGAGGTTTGATTGAATTTTAACTAGTCAATAAACCAGATAACACCCACATAGCTTTTACTTTAGAAATTTTATGAATTGCTCATTGTTTTCTTAGAAAAATAAAAAAAGGTCTCGCCATCATAGTAATTGGTTGAAAACAATATTTCCATTAAATATAGGATCCACTGATTTTAAAACTGGATCCAGAAACGAATGGACATTCTTTTTAAAAATCATGTTTGGCTCAGTGGATAGAGTGTTGACCTGCAGACCAAAGGGTCCCGGGTTCAGTTCCAATCAAAGGCACATACCTTGGTTGCATTGGCCTGGGCCCTGGTCAGGGCTCATGCAGGAGGCAACCAATCGATGTGCTTCTCTCACATCAATGTTTCTCTGTCTCTCCCTCTCTCTTTCCACCCTCTCTAAAAATCAATGGAAAAATATCCCCTGATGAGGATTAACAACAAGAAAACAAAAAATCATGTTTGTGCCTTGCCCAGAGGAGTTTGCTACCTGATGCATATAACTGTAAATTGCAGGGAAGATGGGAAAGGAAGCTTCACTATGCTTTGAGAGCAGGAATGTTTTGGAAGATCACTCAGGCTGCATCATGTAGAGAGATGGGAGGAAATGAAAAGAAGGAACCAACCTGTTTTAGGAGACAGCTGAGGAGGAAGTTGATTGGATCAAGATGGTTGGTGGTGGTGTTGGGGATGTACTAGCTGAATATCCATGAGATAGCACGGGTAGGACTTGATGATCCGTTAGCCATCAAGGAAGAAGGAGAGCTGTGGTTCTTCAATGGACTTGCAGGGTTTGGAGTATACCCATCAGGTGATCTCCCTTGAGCAACCTTCAGAAACTCAGTGGCTTTGATCTGTCCAAAGTGTGTGTGCTGGTGGCGAAGGAGTAAGTTTTCTTCCGTTTTTGTGCATGAACAACACAAGTTAAAATGTTTAAAAGAGCTCAGAGCAGTTCTTTATCCCAGACAGATCTCCTCTGTGGATTGGAAAGGGCAGAGAGAGCACAAATGCTTAAGTACTAGTTCATGCGGTCTGATGTGGAAATGAGGATCGTGCACTGTAATATATAAAGGTGGCGTTCCGGGTGCCCATACATCGCAGTTTGAGTGAGACATTCTCAGGTTACTTCTGTTGTCCCCATGTAATGATCAAAAGCGCCCCTTTCACTCTCAGGTGCCCTGGTCTGGATAGATTATAGAGCCACACCCCTTAAAGGCCACGTTCAGCCAATCAGATGATCCTCTTCTGCTAGCAAAGCTCAGAGGCAGATGGGTGTGGCAGAAGGAACCCAGGAGGAGGACTCAGAAGACTGAATTCTGGCTCCACCTCACTCACTGCATCAGGGGGTTGGGGGTGATTCGTTTTGCTCCTGTCAGCCTCCATTTTTCTCAGTAAGGAATGAGATGTTATTTTTTTTTACATAAATATTTTAATTTCACATGTTTTGAGAGCAGTAGCACAAGGCATTATCTACCATAGTTTCCACAGTCCTTTATCACAAGATAGAGGAAATTTTCTGACTAAAACATTCTTTTTCCTCTTTCCCTTCCTTATTTGAAGCCACCTCCAATTGTAGATATGTGTGCATCCTTTGCCTAGATCATACGATCTTTATAATCTGAA